GCGCGTGCCACCACGCCCGGTACACCCAGCTAATTTTTGTAATTTTAATAGAAACGGGGTTTCTCCATGTTGGCCAGGTTGGTCTGAACTCCTGACCTCAGGTGATTTGCCCGCCACGGCCTCCCAAAGTGCTGGGATTACAGGAGTAAGCCCCCATGCCTGATCATTAGTATTTCACAGTATTCTACCACCTACCTTGTATCAGTTTCAGATTTATGTTTCATCTCCATGATCTCAATCATGAAGAGATCAATAGGTTCATCTTGTTTTTTAATGGCCAAAATGGAGTCCACTACAGCCTGCAATTGGAGGAGCATAACCATTAAGTAAATTCAATTTGCAGCAGCAGAAACATCTTGCTTTTCCGAAGGCTAGACAGTTTCATTTTACAATTATACACTGATTTAAGTCTTTTTCTATGAGCAAACAGAATATATGTAAACAGCAACAACTGAAGCCATTTACATTTCTGAAATCTCAATCTGTAATTCCCAAACATTAACATTAATTAACATTAACAATTCTCCTGTTTCATTAAAAATACTGGTAACTTGGAAGCTTTCTAGTAACAAAATCTCCACTTTACAAACCTTTTAATGAAAGCCTCAATTTTACTTTTATAACCCAGTTACATATACTATTATTTGAATTTCCTCATTTTAGAGACACAAATTAGGTATTATTGCCCCAAAAATGAACCTATACAGCACCTTGTAATTGAAATTGGGAATTATATTCATGTTTCTACTATCAGAGATTTTCTATATAGGTGTATTATACCAGACACAGACAACATTTAATATATACCTCTGTTAAGACATCTGCAAGTTCAGCATGAACTTTAGTACGAAGAGATGTTCTGGCCACATCTATAAGTGTTTCCCTGTCCATCTCTCTGCTTACTTTGACTTCTTCCAAAAACTGAAGGGCCTTTTCCTTTGCAGCTTCAAATCCTTCAGTGATTATTCTGGGATGAAGGCCCTACAATAAACACACATTAACACTTGCATCAAGTAGGTACAACCACAGTTCCTGACAAAGTTCAGTTAATTCCTGAAGGGGTATTCTGGATCATCATACCTTTGAACACGAGGTAATATAATGTGCTGGCTTTCAGAATACATTTAAAAGGATAAATATTCCTTTCAATGCAGAGGAGAAGAACAGGTAATGCTCTAGCACAGGGTCAAAGCCAAGGAAACTATAAAGCACACTTGGGTATTCACTGTGCAAACCACTCTGAATCATTTCAAAATTGACACTGTGTCCCAACCAAGGACTCGCAGATGGTAACATTATTCTATCTTTTCTTTCTTTCTTTTTTTTTTGGAGACGGCGTTTCGCACTTGTTGCCCAGGCTGGAGGCAATGGCACGATCCCGACTCACCACATCCTCCGCCTCCTGGGTTCAAGCGATTGTCCTACTTCAGCCTCCCAAGTAGCTGGGATTACAGGCATGCGCCACCATGCCCGGCTAATTTTTGTATTTTTAGCAGAGATGGGGTTTCTCCATGTTGGTCAGACTGGTCTCGAACTTTCGACCTCAGGTGATCCGCTCACCTCGGCCTCTCAAAGTGCTGGGATTACGGGTGTGAGCGACCACGCTTGGACTATTCTCTTTTCTATAGGTAATCTCAAACTAATTCACATCATTTACTAATTATTTAATAAAGACTGCTCTCTTTTTCCAGGAAATTCTGACAACAGATTCATACTCACTGAGGTTTGTTTTAACCTTGGAACTAGTCAGGGCTTAAAAAAGTGGAATTTATCCAAATATAAGCTTTTGGATGCTTTTTTCCTAACAAATATTCCTAGTCCTAAACATTCCACTTTTAGATCTAAATTATTAATCTACACTAAGGACAGATACAAATCACATAGGCAATGCAACTTCATTACAAAATTATTTTCAGGCCAAGAAAGGTTCCATAACCTGTCCAAGGTCACAATTTGTTTTAGACCAGGACAAAGACCCAGATTTAAGCCCCCTAGTTCTACTGTATGGCCTCAGCTATTAACAGCACATCAATTTGTATAAATAAGTATCAGACACTTCCTATATACAATAAAATATTACAGAAACAAGAGTTGTGCATACTTCAGAAATGTAGAGATCCGCCTGTTTCAGTAGTTCTCCAATGATTAGGACATTGGAAGTCGTACCATCACCAGTTATATCATCCTGGGCTGTTGCTACCTTTGCTATTAAGGAAGCTGTTGGATGTTGAATTTGCTGAAAGTAGAAAAAGAATGAATCACTTAAAACAACATGAAGCAGTCTAAATATAACACAAACAAAATGTAGGAAGGGCCTCTTTAAGTGCTATCTACTTGAAAAAGCTACCCAAGTGTTTGGCTACAAATTACTTCGATTAGCTATCACGCACATGCAATTATGATTGAAACGTTTTCATGTGTAATTTATTTCCCAGGTTATCTCTACTTTACAGATGAGGAAGCTTGAGGCTAAGTAAAAGTTTACTCAAAATGACAGAGCTACCAGTTAACAGTAAAACATAATTTTACATCCTTGCCTCTTTATGGCAAGTGTATGGCTCTAGTGAGAATAAGTCAGGTATCTCCTAAAGGGCACACACATCGTAATTATTTTTGTAGGTTTGTAATTTTTTCAAAGAAAACTGAAAGACTTCTGGAGATTGGAGAGAGGTTCCAGTGGGAGGAGACTTCTGAGGTGGTAGCAACAATTTATTTCTTAGCTACAGTGGTGGTTGTGTGTGTCCATTTTATAATTTTTTCTTAAATTGTAAATGTTCAACGTGCTTCTCTCTACTTATGCTGTATTTCTCACACACTAAAACCCAAATAATTTTTTGTTTTGTTTTGGAGACAGTCTCTGTCACCTACATTGGAGTGCAGTGGCACAAACTCGGCTCAATGACACCTCAGCCTCCCAGGTTCAAGCAATCGATTCTCCTGCCTCCGCCTCTGGAGTAGCTGAGACAACAGGCGTGCAGGACCACGGCCGGCTAATTTTTGTATTTTTTGTAGAGACAGAGTTTTACCACGTTGGCCAGGGCTGGTCGTGAACTCCTGGCCTCAAATGAGCCACCTACCTCAGCCTTCCAAAGTGCTGGGATTACAAGCATGAGCCACCACACCCAGCCCCCAAACAATTCCGACATCAAGTTTAACTATACTCCACTTTTCCAACACGGGCCACCATTGAGCCCACTAAAAACAAACACTACACCTCCTAGGTTACCAAGTCCTTACTAAAGATATTTCATTTGGATGTTGATAGCTTGGTACGCTACTAGTAAAACCCTAAGTATTATTCTGAACTCAAATCAGCAGGAAATCATTTCCTGTTCTTGAACTGCTAAGTTTTGGGAATTCAGGGGATGAGTAAAACGCATACTCCCCCCAATAATCTCATATTCTCCATCCCTAAGACTTGCAAAGAGACAGATTTCAATCCCCTCCACTTGGAGATGCAGATGAGACCTAACGGAGAAATTGCTGTTTTAAAAAGAGAAAAACCGGCTGCGTGCGGTGGCTCACGCCTAGTAATCCCAGCACTTTTGGCGGGCGGATCACCTGAAGTCAGGAGTTCAAGACCAGCCTGGCCAACACAGTGAAATCCTCTCTCTACTAAAAATACAAAAATTAACTGGGAGTGGTGGCCCAAGCCTGCAATCCTCGCTACTTGGGCGGCTAAGACAGAAGAATCGCTTGAATCCGGGAGGTGGAGGTTGCAGTGGGCCAAGATTGTGCCACTGTGCGACACAGCAACACTTCGTCTAATAAAAACTAAAAAAAAAAAAAAAAGAAAAAAAGAAAAATCATCCTCATGCATTTTGCCCATGTGATTGTGTCAACCTCTCAATTTTTCAAATTTTATAATAATTAACTTTAATATACAATTACAGTCCTTTAGCCCAGACTGTGAATAGCAAAAAAGCAGGAATTCAAAGGCAGAGCTGTCAGACTCCAGGCACTGTACTATTACTGATTACATGCCACTTCTAAATGTTCTCCTGCCTTGAAAACGGACACTGCAAATCTTTCCACAAAGCAAACAATCTACGGAAAATCAAGACCTTTCTGACCTAGAGCAGAGCACCTCTCACCATTTCGTGAAGCAGCACATTGCCGTCTTTAGTAAGTTTGATGTCTCCAGCGCCAGAAACGAGCCTGTTTAAGGGACAGAAATGAATCAGAAGTGACTTTTCAACGATAACTAAAAGTCCCATTAGAAAACGGGCTCTTCCCAGATCTTACGGAGCCAGGGATATGGGGCTAGTTATCTCCCGCAGGCTGGAGGAACAGGTGTAGTGCCCACCCCGTCCCCGCAGAGATTGTGCCGAGTCCTCAGAGTGCCTGGAAGCCCCAAAGGGAGGGGAACGCCGCGCTCTAGAGACGCTTTGTTCTCCCCAGAGACGGCATGAACGCTGGAAGAAATGGCTGGGACGGTGGGGCTTAGCAGAGAACAGGACCGACCCCGAAGGACGCGGAGAAGGGCGGCTGCGGAGCCCCGAGGCGGCGGGCTCCAGCCCGTGGTCCCGGACCAGCCAGGTGCGTGGCGGCGCGCGGTGCCCACCCGGCCCTCCCTTCAGCCCCGCCTCACATCTTCATGGTGCCCTTGGGCCCCAGGTTGGTCCTTAGCACGTCCTGCAGACCCCGCGCCGCGCTGATGTTGACCGCCAGGGCCGCCTGCGCTCGGGCCACCTCGGCCTTGGGGTTCAGGGTTTTCACCGCCGCCATCGCTGCTCCAGCGGAGGAAAAGGAAACGAGGCTGAGAACCCAGAGCCGGCGCGGCGTGGCCAGGAGGAACTATCCGGGTCTTCTGGAAAAGTCGGCGCGTCCGGCCCGCCCCCAGCGTGCCCGCGCGCCTCCGCCATTGGACCACAGGTCGTCCGGCGCCCGCCCATTGGTCCGTGGCTGCACGGCGCCTACGGTCCCACCCCTCGCGCGGCGGCCGCGGCGTCATTGCGCACGGGAGGAGCCTATTCCGGGCCGACCGTGCTCCTTGGTTCCGGTGTCGCAGCTCAGCCGGGCCCAGCTTTGTGGACCCGGGAGCCCAGGACGCAGGCGGGGCTTGTGCTTCGCGGGGGCAGGGCGTAGGGTGGGCCTCCTCCCGCCTCTACTCTCGCGGTTTGCTCCTCAGTCTCCTTTCTTTGCTGATTTTATGCCTTTCTTTCTTTTTTTGAGACGGAGTCTCGCTCTGTCGCCCTGGCTACAGTGCGGTGGCGCGATCTCGGCTGACTGCAAGCTCCGCCCCCCGGGTTCGCGCTTTTATCTCTTTCATTGGAGCTTTCTGGACCCTGTGCTTGACGGTGCCCTAGGTGGCTTGGAGACACACGCGAGTCTGATAAGCACCCTGCCCCGGGATCATGCGGTGCTGTGAGGCCTAGCGAAGATGAAGATAGAATGCAAGGTAGAAAGTGCTGGATACCTTTAGAAAGCTGCAGAACTGGTGCGATGGGAGTTGAGACGTAAGAACCTGCCCGTCCGTAGGGCTCTGGATGCTGCTGAGGCCCGAGGCCCCCATGGCACATTTGAAAACTCACCCTTGTAGAGTCATTCCTGCCTTTGAGAGGACTCCCTATTAAGGTAAATTTCCAAAGAGCTCCACAATTGTTTCCAGTATCCAGTGTCCCGCCAAATACCAGGGATTCCGTAACACGTGATATTTTACTTTATTTATATTATTTTTGTAGACATAGGGTCTCACTATGTTGCCCAGGGTGGTCTCAAACTTCAGAGTTCAAGTGATCCTCCTGAGTTCAAGTGATCCTCCCGCCTCGGCCTTCCAAAGTGTTGGGATTACAGGCGTGAGCTGCCGCGCCCGGCTGATATTTTATTTTTAATAAATAATGGAAATTGTTCTGAATTCAAAAGGCACCAAAGGGCATGTAGTGGAAATTAAATCTTCCTCCCACCTCTAGTTCAACACTAGAGACAAAGTTACCCCTGGATACTCTATGAATTTTCGGAATGCTTTCTGAATTTATAAACTTATATATGAATATAATCATTTCCTCACACAAATGGCAATTCATAATACACACTGTAGGGTGTGTTATACTTTAAGTGTCTTGGAGATTGTGCTATATCAAGACTAATAGGAAGTCCTCGGTAACAGCTGCGTGATGTTCTTTGTAAGAATGACACAACTAGGGGCCAGGGCTCAGTGGCTCACGCCTGTAATCCCGGCACTTTCGGAGGCTGAGGCAGGGGCATCACTTGTGCCTGAGAGTTCAAGATCAGTCGAGGCAACATAGCGAGACTCCATCTATACAAAATATACAAAAATTAGCCGGGTGTGGTGCTGCACGTCTGTGGTCCCAGCTACTTGGGAGGCTGAGGTGGGAGGATCGCTGGAATCTGGGAGGCGGAGGTTGCAGTCAGCTATGATCTTGCCACTGCACTTCAGCCTGGGCGACAGAGCTGACCCTGTCTCAAAAAGAATGACACAACTAACTGGTCACCTACTGACTAATATTTAACTTGTTCCTAATCTGCTATTCAGGCTGCAGTGAACATCTGGATATATGATGCTTTTAGGTGGGTTTGTGTATTTGAGAATCACAAAAACATCTATATATGTGACTAGTAGCACTGCACAATAGAAGATGAGTTATTAGTTCCATAGGCATTACATGGTGTGCATTCAGATTTATTATAACTGCTGTTAAAAATGTTATGAGGAGGCCAGACATGGTGGCGCATGCTTGTAATCCCAGCACTTTGGGAGGCCGAGGCGGGCGGATCACTTGAGGTCAGGAGTTCAAGACCATCCAGGCCAACATGGTGAAACCCCGTCTCTGTAACAATACAAACATTAGCCTAGCCTGGTGGTGTGCATCTGTGATCCAAGCTACTAGGGAGGCTGAGGCATGAGGATTGCTTGAACTCAGGAAGCAGAGGTTGCAGTGAGCCAAGATCATGCCACTGCACTCCAGCCTGAGTGACAGAGCCAGACTCTGTCTCAAAAAAAAAAGGCCAGGAACAGTGGCTCACACCTGTAATCCCAGTACTTCGTGAGGCCGAGGTGGGCAGATGACTTGAGGTCAGGAGTTCAAGACCAACCTTGCCAACATGGTGAAACCCCATCTCTACCAAAAATATAAAAAGTTAGCTGGGTGTGGTGGCGCATGCCTGTAATCCCAGCTATTTAGGAGGCTGAGGAAGGAGAATCATTTGAATTCTGGAGATGGAAGTTGCAGTGAGCCAAGATCATGTCACTGCACTCTAGCCTGGGCAACAGAGCGAGACTCCTCAAAAAAAAAAAAAAGGCCAGGCACAGTGATTCACGCCTGTAATCCCAGCACTCGTGAGGTGAGCGGATCACGAGATCAGGAGTTCGAGACCAGCCTGACCAACGTGGTGAAACCCGTCTCTACTTAAAATACAAAAAACAAATTAACTGGGCATGGTGGCCGGCGCCTGTAGTCCCAGCTACTCTGGAGGCTGAGGTGAGAGAATGGCATGAATCCAGGAGGTGGAGCTTGCAGTGAGCCGAGATGGTGCCACTGTACTCTAGCCTGGGCGACAGAGTGAGACTCTTTCAAAAACAAACAAACAAAAAAAACCTAGAGGATGGGTTAATGGGTGCAGCAAGCCACCATGGCATATGTATATCTGTGTAACAAAACTGCACATTGTGCACGTTTCCCTGAATTTAAAGCAAAAAAAAAAAAAAAACCAGGTGTCGTGGCGCATGCCCGTATTCCCACCTACTTGTGTGGCTGAGGCAGAATTGCTTGAACCTGGGAGGCGGATGTTGCAGTGAGCCAGAATCGCAGCACTACACTCCAGCCTGAGTGATAGAGCGAGACCTGTCTCAAACATAAAAAGAATTTGTAAAAAACAGTAAGAAGAATTCCCATACTCTACCCACAGATCCTTCTATTGTAAACATCACATTTAACCCTGGAATAAGAAATTAACATTGATGCAGAATCCAATCTATAGATTTCATTCAAATTTTGCTAATTATATCATGAATGTTCTCTCTCTGGCCCAGGATTCTATTTATCTAGAATTACTCTTCACATTTACTTGTCACGTTCTTCAGTCTGGAACAGTTCTGCAATTTTTCAGTCTTTAGTGATCTTGGCATTTTTTTTCAGTACTGTCCTGTTATTTTACAGACTGTTCCTTACCTAAGGGTTAGTTGATGTTTCCTTATGATTTTTTTTTTTTCAAATTTTTTAAAGACGGAGTCTCGCTCTCGCTCTTTGCCCAGGCTGGAGTGCAGTGGCGCTATCTCTGCTCTCTGCAGCCTCCGCCTCCCGGGTTCAAGTGATTCTCCTGCCTCAGCCTCCGGAGTAGCTGAGATTACAGGTACCCACCACCATGCTGGGCTAATTTTTGTACTTTTAGTAGAGTTAGGGTTTCGGCATGTTAGCCAGGCTGGTCTCAAACTCCTGACCTCAGGTCATCTACCTGCCTTGGCCTCCCAAAGTGCTAGGATTAAATGCATGAGCCACTGCACCTGGCCTGATAGTTTCTTTTTTTTTTTTTTTTTTTTTGAGACGGAGTCTCGCTCTGTCGCCCAGGCTGGAGTGCAGTGGAGCGATCTCAGCTCATTGCAAGCTCCGCCTCCCGGGTTCCCGCCATTCTCCTGCCTCAGCCTCCCGAGTACCTGGGACTACAGGCGCCGCCACCTCGCCCGGCTAGTTTTTTGTATTTTTAGTAGAGACGGGGTTTCACCATGGTCTCGATCTCCTGACCTTGTGATCCGCCCGCCTCGGCCTCCCAAAGTGCTGGGATTACAGGCGTGAGCCACCGCGCCCGGCCCCCTGATAGTTTCTTATGTTTAAATGCAGGTTATGGCCGGGCGCAGTGGCTCATGCCCGTAATCCCAGCCCTTTGGGAGGCCAAGGTGGGTGGACCATGACGTCAAGAGATTGAGACCGTCCTGGCCAATATGGTGCAATCCCGTCTCTACTAAAAATACAAAAAATTAGCTGGGCATCGTGCTGCACGCCTGTAATCCCAGTTACTCAGGAGACTGAGGCAGGAGAATCACTTGAACCCGGGAGGCGGAGGTTGCGGTGAGTGGAGATCACGCCACTGCACTCCAGCCTGGGCTATAGAGCAAGACTCCGTTATCAAAAAAAAAAAAAAAACCAGGTTGTTCATTTTTGGCAAGAACACCAGAGAGTATGTGTCCTTTTCAAGGCATCATAGGAAGAGTCACATGATGTCAGTTTTTCTCATTCCTGGTGATGTTAACTTTGTTCACTTGGTTAATATTTGCCAGATTGCTCTACTTTAAAGTTACTAGCTTTTCTTTGTATTTAATAAGCATTTAATAAACATTTTGTGGGAAAATATGTGACTGTTCTGTTTTTCATCAGAACAGTGCCTACTAATTTAAGCATCCATCGATTTTGTTGTTGTTTTTGAGACAGGGTCTCACTGTGTCGTCCAGGCTGGAGTGCAGTAGCTCAATCACACAGCTTACTGCAGCCTGAACCTCCTGGGCTCAGCTTCTTATCTCAGCCTCCTGAGTAGCTGAGACTTCAGGTGTACACCACTATGCCTGGCTAATTTAAAACTTTTTTTTTTTTTTTTAGAGATAAGGTCATGCTATGTTGCTTGGGTGAGTTTCAAACTCCTAGGCTCAAGCAGTCCTCCTGCCTCAGCCTCCCAAAGTGCTGGGGTTACAGGCATGAGCCACTGTGCCCAGCCCATCAATAATTTTTGCCTGAAACAATTATTACTGTGATCTTTGTACGAAAGTCCTCCATGGATCTGTTGCGTGCTTACATGTCTTGCTGTGTGTGCCAAGAATGCAAGGCCCAAGAATGCTCTTTATTTGGGGCTTTTCTCAGAGTTGTTTATACAGCTACTAATCTTCAGAGACAAGTTAATGTTTCCTCCTGGACAAAGAGCAGGCTTGCCCACTGCTTGGTATAAAAACAATAGATTTCAGCCTGGCATAGTGGCTCATGTCTATAATTCCAGCTTTTTTTTTTTTTTTTTTTTTTTTTTTTTAAGGTGGAGTCTCACTCTGCTCACTCTGTTGCCCAGACTGGAGTGCAGTGGCGCGATATCGGCTCACTGCAGCCTCCATTTTCTGGGTTCAAGTGATTCTCCTGCCTCATCCTCTTGAGTAGCTGGGACTCTAGGTGCCCGCCACCACGCCTGGCTAATTTTTGTATTTTTGTAGAGACAGGGCTTCACCGTGTTGGCCTGGCTGGTCTCAAACTCTTGACTTCAGGTGATTTCCCCCGCTTGGCCTCCCAAAGTGCTGGGATTACAGGTGTGAGCCACTGCGCCCAGCCATCCCAGAACTTTGGAAGGTGAAGGTGGAGGATCCTTTGAGGCCAGGAGTTCGAGACCAGCCTAGGCAACACAGTGAGACCCCATCTCTACAAAAATAAAACAATAAAACAATAAACGAGGTGGGCAGATCACCTGAGGTTGGGAGTTCGACACCAGCCTGACCAACATGGAGAAAACCCATCTCTACTAAAAAAATACACAATGAGCCAGGTGTGATGGCACTGTAATCCCAGCTACTGGGGAGGCTGAGGCAGGAGAATAGCTTGAACCCAGGAAGTGGAGGTTGCGGTAAGTCAAAATAGCACCATTGCATT